ACACCTAGCATCCATCATCCAGACTGCCTGACACCTGACTGATAACCATCCTGGACCAATCCTAGGGCTGAGAATGCAGGATTGATAACTCTCAAGAATGTACTTTTTGCAATACGAACTTTTTGCTTCTCATTCTTCTTTGGAACACTTCTGGATTTTTGCCTTGCCGTGGTCTCAGTTTGCAAACTCTAAGGCCCTTGAATAAATCTTTATCATTTATTTCTAGCCGAAGCCTCCAGACTCTTTCTGAGTTTATAAAACAGAACCGAATAATGACCCCAGGAATAGACACACACAAATATAGTCAACTAATTTTTGACCAAGGAGCAAAGGTAACAGAATGGAGAATGACAGGTTTTTCAATAAATGGTGCTAGAACAACTGGATAGTCAGATGCAAAAAAAAAAAAAAAAAAAAAATGTATCTGAACCTTACATCTTTTACAAATATCAACTTGAAATGAATCATAAACCTAAACGTAAGTGCAAAGCTATAAAACTCCTAGAAAATAACATAGGAGAAAATCTAAATGATATTGGGTTTGGCAATGACTTTTTAGATAAAACACCAAAGACATGATACATGAAATAAATAATTGATAAACTAGACTTTATTAAAATTAAAAGATAGTGTCAAAAGGATGAAGAAACAAGCCACAGAGTAAGAGAAAATATTGTAAGAGATATATCTGATAAAATATTATTATCAAAAAAAATACAAAGAACTCTTAAAACTCAACAACAAAAATAAATAAATAACCCGATTAAACAATGGGCAAAAGATCTGAAGAGACACCTCATCAAAGAAGATATACAGACTATTATCAAAAAATATACAAAGAACTCTTAAAACTCAACAAAAAAATAAATAAATAATCTGATTAAACAATGGGCAAAAGATCTGAAGAGACATCTCATCAAAGAAGATATACAGAAGGCAAATAAGTATATGAAAAGATCCCCACATCGTCAGGAAATTACAAATTAAAACAACAATGAAATACTACAACACACCTATTAGAAAGACCAAAACCCAAAACACCGAGAACGCCAAATGGTGACAAGGATATGGAGCAATGGGAACTTTCATTCATTGCTGGTGAGAATGCAAAATGGTTCAGCTACTTTGGAAGACAGTGTGGCAATTTCTTACCAAAATATATATATTCATACCATAAGGTCCAGCAATCGTGCTCTTTGGTATTTACCCAAATAAGTTGAAAACGTATGTCCACATAAAAGCTCGCACATGGATATTTACAGCAGCTTTATTCATAATTTCCAAAACTTGGAAATAACCAAGATGTCTTTCAGTAGGTAAATGTATAAATAAAGTAGGGTACATCCAGACCATAGAATATTACTCAACATTAAAAAGAAATGAGCTCTCAAGTCATGAAAGAACCTTAAATGCATATGACTAAGTCAAAGACGCCAATCTGAAAAGGCTATATACTATATGATTTAAACTATGACATTTTGACAGAGTCAAAACTATGGAGACAGTAAAATATCAGTGTTTACCAGGGATAAGTGGGTAGGTAGGGATGAACAGGCAGAGCATAGAATTTTTAGAGCAGTGGAACCATTTTATATGATACTATAATGGTGGATACATTTGTCAAAAACCATGGAATATATAACACCATTGTTGTTTAACTATAGACTTGGGGTGATAATGATATATCAGTGTAGGTTCATTGAATGTAACAAATGTACCATTCTGGTGCAGAATGTTCTGATGAAAGCTGTACGAGTTAAGGGGGGCGGTATGTGGCAAAGAGAATATATAGAAACACTCTGCACTTTCTGCTCAATTTTGCTGTGAACGTAAAACTGCTCTAGAAAAAGCCTATTAAAAGAAAAAAGGACACAAAGTCATCATAAAAGAGCTCTCAATAACCAAAGTTGGAACATATTTAGCAAAATACTAAATACAGTAATGGATTATAGCCCAAAGAATGAAATAAATCTCCATGTGTCTATATAGATAAAAACAAGTGATTGAATAAATAAAAGGGGAGAAGGGACAAACCTTCTTTACAGTACTCCAAGTAATAACTATAGAAGATGTCAGTGTACTTCAGCCAAACCAAATACCACCAGCGACATATTTGTAGGTGAACGATTTGTATTTTAATAGTAGTCACAATGAGGTAGAGCACACACTCAAGGGAACCATAAAGTGTTTAAATAAGAGGGTGTTAGAAAAGAATTATAGGATTTGAGCTTTGGTTAGTTCATTTTGCAGAGATTCCAAGGCATTTAAATTTAGTCAAGATTGGGTGTTGCAAAAAATTTAAAAATTAAAATTAAAAAGCAGCAGTCACTCATATCAGTCACTCATATCAGAAAGGAATGTTTGTTATTTTTGAAAGTGGCAGTGCGACCTTGTTTTTGTCTGTACTTATACAAAATTATAAAGTGGACTTGTTTGTCTTACATCATCATGATCTCAGAATGGCCTTGTCTGATTGGCGTTCAATGAGATTGTTTACATCTAAAAAGAAAACACCACTGTTTAGCTATGAGCACTGGGACAGCTTTCAGCAGCAGCCAGGCCAGTGCCCAGATGTCAGAGGCTGCTTTACATTTTCTCAAACTAATGAAGGGAACTGAAAATCACCATTAGAATACCAGAGTAATAACCGATGCAAGCAAGATCCACTGATAAATGCTAAGTTGGTGGGTGATACTTTAAGGAGAAACAGGTTATTTTATAGCCTCAAAGTATCTCTCTGCAAATATTTATCAGTTACTGTAGTGGTGCTGCCAGCGTAGCACCAGACTCAGAGGCGGTGGGGTGCAGTGAGGATCTGAAGACCCTCTGAGCACATCCAGGCCAGGCTCCCTGGGTGTAGGGCAAGGTCCCAGGCATGGGATAGGAGTGAAGGGCAAAGGTTTCCTAGGCCTTATATTTTAAAAAACATTTGTATTCTATAAGAACTTAAGAAATTTAGAAATTTTAACAACTTAGAAATTGTCTTTTAACTGTTTATAGCTTGAATCCCTATTTAAGTTATTTACTGTAATATGAATGCCACGGATATGGCCTTTGTTCCAGCACCTACCTCGTTGTTGTAACGAGGTTATTCAATGTTCTCTTTCCACTGCTTTAAATGCCAGCTCTGATATGTACTATGTTCTTTTTTCCTGGACTTAACTCTTATTACACCAGGATCAGTTTTTAAATATTTTAGCAATAACATACATATTAATATAGACACATTGCTATGCATTTTCAATTCTTTTCTAATTATTACTAAAAGTTTTTGCTAGAATAAAAGTTGGAATTGTTCCTTTAGGTTTAACAAACAAAATATATAAATGTCAAAGAGAAAAAACACATAGAAAACTTTCTGAGAATCCTGATAGGACTTTAATTTTGTTTTCTTCTAGGAAACTGGTATTTATTAAAGATTTTGTACCTTGATTCACATAAATTGCACTAACTTGCCAGTAACATTAATCTTTTTTTCTTGATAATCGAAATTTATTCTCTATCTTTTGATCATTGTCATATAAAATAACCTGTTACAAAATATCAACCAAGAAAAGTGTGCATGTGTTAATATATAAGTATTTGTATACATATATATGTAAAAAGACAGTCCTAAAATGTGTTCAGTTTCTTAATTTGGCCCCTAATTTCAGAACTGTGTAAATAAATTTTAAGCAAGTTCATCCCTAGATTTGTGTGATAACCATTTTCTTTTTGACTAGTGCGTACTTTCAAGTATTATTTATGTAAGACTGAACGGTTTGCTTGCTTTTTCTTTTTTTCCCCAGAGATAAACTCCAAAGATTACAGATATTATTCTTTTATGTTAATGACAGACTCCATTTCCTAAGTATTTAGTACATTTCAGTTTTATTCACAACAACTGTTTACATATGATAAAGTTAACTTTACATCAGAACCCACGAAATGAGGGCCTACATCACAAATCTAAACCTAAGTCAGCCTGAAGTATGGGTCACATGTCACTGTCAAGGAAATGTAACACACACCAATCACAATCCTCCAACTCAACTTTTGCTAGCTTACTTTACCCTAGAAAATAGGGACCTGCTTTATAAGGAAATCTCTGACTTCCTAGCCAGTCATGCTCTGTTGCCATGTTGCCTCTTGCAACATTATAAAATATGCTCTTGCACAAAATCCCTCAGAAGAGTGCTCCACGGCTTGTTGGGTACTGTATGCCCCCATTCCATGGAATCTTCTCCTTTGAATAAAAGACATCAAATTCATTACTAAATTGTTTTAGTTTTGGCATTTGGCTTGTATATCTACTTCCTTGGCAGCTCTGAGTTAAAAAGCACGCTTTTGAACAGTTCAAAAATTTCCCTTTATAAACTTTATATTACAAAATTTCCAAACACATAGAAAAGTAGAAAATAGTAATATCAAATGCCCATATTCTAGAGGTAGAAATTCCTAAAATTTTCCTATATTTAATTTTTCTGGTTATTTTTAAATTTCAAATATACAATACACTACTAAGTACTTTAATATGCATCTCTAAAATAAGTAAATTTGTCTACATAATCCCAGTGTTATTATCACAATTAACAAAAGCAACGTTAACTTCCCTTAATACCAGTTCCATATACAAATTTCCCCAATTGTTCTCAAATGTCTTGTTTTCTCCAACCAGGATCCAATGGAGAAGCACACATTCTATTTGCTAGTATGTCAAATTTTAACCCTTAAAGTCTGGTGCTGTGGTAGAACCTGCGTCCCCGTTATTAGTACAGACTGTTACAACATTTTATTTCTCTCTAAACACACACACACACACACACACACACACACACACACACGAGTTTGCGAGCGGTCGAGGGGTGGGATACGGTGGGTTTCACGGGAAATGTAGTTGCGTGTGCGAGCGGTCGGGGGGTGGGATACGGTGGGTTTCACGGGAAATGTAGTCTTGAATGTCATGGATTATTGCGCAGCATTCTGGGACTGGATAGCCTGGGCTTCTCGCTGCGCATGTGCAGCCAGGCCCATTTCCCTGCTCCCGCCCTCTCCAGCCTCGCGGATGAGGAGGCTTTGCAAGTCAGGTGAGAGTGTTAGTGGTGTGGCCTTCTTCGCAGCTGAACAGCCAGCACGGAGATCTTAACTTATGCCTGACGGAAAAGAACAGGAAGTCCCGGAATCTCACTCCGAAAGCGCGATCCCTGCTGCCTATCCCGGAGCCAGGCTTGGAAGTAGACCTGGGAAAGGCGGGAGAGAGCGGACCGCAGCCCCGCGGTCTCCAAGGACGCAGGTGGGGCTGAGTCCCGGTCAGAAGATGCTAGGTGCGGGCGGGGTGTGGGAGCTGACTGCAGCCGGCCGGGGGTCGGGCGGGGCGGTGGGGGCGGGGGGGATACCTTTATTGCCTATGGCGGCGGCCCGTCGGCGGCGGGAGGGAAGTCCCTGTTTATAATATTGATCGTGAACCTGATACAGAGTGCGCCTGGGCCTTGGGTCTGTGGTGATTGGCCGAACTTAGGAGCCAGAAGGACCTGGTAAATTCCGCCCCTTTTCACTTGGGCACGCGTCAGGTTTCTCATTTGAAATAATGATATTAAGAAAAACTGCTTTGTGGCGTTATTCAGAGAGAACTCATAACCTGTAAAGCAGGGGTCCCCAACCCCCTGGGCCACGTATGGCCTGTTAGGAACTAGGCCGCAGAGCAAGTGGTGGTGCTGCTGGGGAGCTAAGCTTCATCTGTATTTGCAGCTGCTCCAGTGCTAGCATCACTGCCTCAGCTCCTCTCAGATCATCTGGCTTTAGGTTCTCATAGGAGCCCGAACCCTACTGTGAACTGTGCATGCCAGGGATCTAGGTTGTGAGCTCCTTATGAGAATCTAATACCTGATGATCTGAAGGGGAGCTGAGGCGGTGATGCTAGTGCTGGGGAGCAACTGCAAATATAGGTTAACATTAGCAGAGAGGTTCGCATAATAAGTCAGTTGCTTGCAAACTCCTATCAGAACCCTATCAGTGAGTGACAAAAAAGCTGCATCTGGTGGCAAGCTTTATAGTGGCCAGTGAGTTGATGTACTTCTGCTGTACAGCTACATCTGGTGGCATCTAATTCTGCATTATGGTGAGTTGTATATTTCATTATATATTACAATGTCATAATAGAAATAAAGTGTACAATAAATGTAATGCGCTTGAATCATCCTGAAACCAACTCCCTCTCCCATCTGTGGAAAAATTGTCTTCCATGAAACCAGTCCCTGGTGCCAAAAGGTTGGGGACCGCTACCGTAAAGCATTTATTTAACCAAATGCTAGTGAGCACTAATAAGTACTAGTTAATAAACCAACATGTAATGTTGGCTCCCATCATATTTGGAAGACAACTTTGTTTTTCTTTAGCATTTCATTTAATACAACCACTTTATTTATAGACATATCATTAAAAACTAAGAAAATGGGCTCAGAGGAGTGAAATTACAGACTCAAAATTACAAAGTTGAGGAAGTTAGGATGCAAATACAAATATGCAAATACAGATACTCCCAAATTCAGATTATTCCTAAGTCCTACCTACCTAAAATGCAGTGTTGCAGCCTTCACAGCACTAGCAGAGTGACTTGCACCCAAATCCCCAGGACTAAGATTGTAAAGTCAGTGTGAACTGAATCTCACTCTGTGACAGGTGTATTTATTCAGAGATTTCTGGCATGTCTCCAAAGCCTCTGGGTAAGATTAGGCTCTTGGCACTTCCTGCACTGTCCAGGCTTCCTCTGTCTTCAGAAGGCACAGTATGACATACTAGTGCAGTGCTGTCTAATAGATAAGGTGAGCCACATATATAATTTTAAATAGCCTAGAAGCCACATTAAAACTAAAAAGAAACATGTGAAATTAATTTTAAGAACATACAGCAGGTCCTTGAATAACAGCATTTCGTTATAACGCTGATGAGGGGGAAAAATCGATTCCTGGCAGGGTCACTGCCTGTTGTGGAGTTTGCGTATTCTCCCCACGTCTGCATGGGTTTTCTGCAGGGATTCTGGTTTCCTCTCACATCCCAAAAATGTACAGGTTAGTTTAATTGACGTGTTCATATTGTCCCAGTTTGAGTGAATGGGAGTGTGTTGTGAGTATACCCTGCAATGGAAAGGTGTCCTCTCCAGGGTGGGGTGCCATTTTGCATCCTGAGCTGCCAGGATCGTCTCTGGACACTTGAGACTCTAAACTGGAATAAGTGGGTTAGGAAATTATTATCTTTTTAAAATTAATCTTTCTTAAATACATGTATAGCTCACATATATTTCAGTGTTTAGTATTAGAACTGTTTTTGGTCTTTATTTCGAAGTTCGGTGATGTTTTCATGACCAGAATTATGCTGTAAGAACTTAACTCTTGTTTATATCAATTAGCCTGTGGTAAAATTGGTTTTGTTATATGTCATTTCACTTAAAGTCGCAGCTTCCAAGAACCTGTCAATGATGTTAAGTGAGGATTTACTGTATTGTGTTTATCTTAATATATCCAAAATGTTATTTCAAAATGTGACACTAGTCACAGCCTAACAATGGGATGTAGCTAGTGGCTACAATAATGGATAAAACAGTTCTAAAGAATTCAAAAAAGAATCAGGTTAAGACCCTACACCAGTAGTTCCCAACTAGGGTGATTTTGCTCCCCAGAGGACTTTTGGAAATGTCTAGAGATGTTTTTGGTTGCCACAACTGGAAAGAGGATTGCTACTAGCACCTGGTGGGTAGGGGCCAGAAAGCTGCTAGACATCATACAATGCACGGGACAGCACCCCATGACAAAGAATCACCCAACCCAAAATGTCAGTAGTGTTGAAATTGAGAAACATTGCTCTCAATGAAAGTTTCAACTAAAATGAATTTGTTTCCTAGGCCTAAGTCTCAATGTCTCTGGAACAAAGCAGCTCTTGTGTGGCAGGAAGGAGAGAGCTCTGCGGACAGGAGTCCCACTTGGAAGAACAACATCTGACAGGGACCACCCTCACCAGAACTTCAGAACATATGCAGGAGAAACCAGAAAGGAGCAGGTCCTGATTTGCTCCACCAGAAGCAGTTCTTAATCACCTTGTCCAGAGACAGCCAGACTTGGTGATGTCACCATATCCAGAAGCCATTACAGACTGTGTGACAGTGGAAACTATGGACTAGAAGGTGGTGAGCTGGGGTTGAGAGGGATGGGTGACCATCAGGCTGCACAGATAAAGCCACAGCCAGAGCCAAGGAAATTCTGTCTTCAGTCCTTAAATAGTCCCCCATTTTTTCATTCCAGATTCTGAGCTACTCTCATACCATGCCCATCACATGTGGCATCTAGAGATATACGGAACTTCCTTTATCCTGAACATGTAGAATCACAGAATGATAGTATAGGAAGGGATTTCTATTTCCAACTCTTGAAAACTTAAAAAAATATTGAACCTGAGATGTATGTCCCCTGGCACCGAGGACAGAGGTAGGAGCAAAGCCCAGTGTTGTTAAGTCACTAGTAGTCTTTCTGAGAAATCGCAACAAATTAAAACAAAAAGTTTTAAAAATATTTAATCATTAAGCATCTTATCTTTTTTTTTTAGAGTTTTCTGTTGATTTTCTAACTCAAGGTGTAAATATTAATAAGATATTAATATTAATTCTGTTTAATTTTTTGTTAATTACAGGGGACATACATTTTTTTAAATCAACAGGAAGATGATTTACAATTACTCAATGAAAAAGCAAGGTTACATCTATGTGATCATATTAGAGACATATATATTCAGGGAGTGCTGTCTCTGTAGTGCTTCCTGGCCCTTCTCAAGGGTCAGTGGAACATTTTTCCATAGGGAAGCCTTTTTGCCAGCCAATGTGATGAGATTTTTAGGCAAGTGAATGCAGAAGCTCACGAGATTTCTCATGACTCTGTTCCTCTTTCCTTACCCCCAGCTTCTCTACACTCTCTCAAGAGCAGCAGAAAATGAATATATTTCAGGTGAGTTATTTATTAATTTTTTTTTATAATGGATTTTATAGGTGGTTAAGGAACTTTCCACTGACATGGAAAAATAGAAATGTATCAGCATCATCCAAGGAAGATAGAGAAAAGCGGATGAATAGCACAGCAGAGTTCTCATGCAGATAGATGCAGGTCCGCTGATGTTACAGATTTTCCAAAGTGCAACTGCAAATTTCTGCAGATTTTTCTGGTAGTCATGGTAGAGAGTCAGATAGACAGTAATAGGTTAAAGATTTGCATTATGAGAAGCTCAAACCAAACATTCCTCATGGAATCTATAAAGCTATCAAAGTCAGGAAAAATGTCTTTCTGGGTATTCATGTAGGTGATAGAGTAAATCTTTCCAATAATGGCCCTGAAATAAATGTAGGATTCTTTTACTTGTTCCTCAGTAGAGGTAGAGGGCTTGCTGCCAAAGCAGAGCTTTTGTTAACAACAATTGTTCAGGAAACTTTTTAGAAGTTGAGGTAGACATTTTTCTGATGATCCTGCTTAATTCAAGAATAATACTTAGAATAACTGGAGGCTGGCATGAATGACTTATACATTCATGTCTTAAAGATATCTCTTTGTAAAGTACATGTCATAAACAAGTTGTCAGCAGACAGGTCTAGCAAATGTTACTATACTTTCATTTACACTTCAGTTCACTGTATGAGGCTTTGATGTCTCTCCTCATATCCTGTAACCTGCACTTATTAGTGACCTAATTACAGTCAATTCCAGTGGGCCTTTCCTAGTCCTTACTTTACTAGACCTGTGTGCAGTGCCTGACTGCCCCTACTCTGCTCCTCTGGAAGATCTCTTGTGTTAGTATCCTCTGCTGCTGTCCTGCCTCGTTTTTCTTTATGGAGTCATTTTCCTTCTCTTGCCTTTTCACATGTCTCATCCACAAATTTCCATTACTTCTCACTATTCTTATAACTAGTATTCTTGACTCATTTCATCCTCTCTTTGGTTTTAACCATGATGTATTTGCTGGTTCTCTCAAATGAGGCTCTGCAGCCCACCCTAACCAATGGCACTTTTTTGTGATGATGGAAATGAGCTGTATCTGCACTATCCAAGGTGGTGGCCACTAGCCAGGTGCACGCACCCACCTCTTTCTTCACCTCCTCAAGCACATCTTCCACATGGGTTGTTCATCTAAATGCTTAATGAGGTAATGTTTTGTCTCACCTGTGTGTAAATCATCTCACTGGCTCCTTACGCCTATGCAATACAGTTCCCAGTTTCTCAGGATGACCAATTCAGGCTTTTCTTCTTTTTACTTTATTGCTGCTCTGCCTTTTTTGACATCTATTTATTGAACAGCCAGGATGTTCCAGGAAATTAACATGTGCTATAGTTACAGTTTAAACAATACAGATACTTTTCTTTCTTAACAGTGTTCACAGTCTAGTGGGAAATATGACATTTAAAAAATTCAGAATGTAACTTTATTCTAAAGCAAAACCAAACCTCATTTAGTTTCTTAGACACATCCTACTGTTCCTGACTCTGCTGCACATCACGTTCTCATTGTCTCCTCCAGATCGACCTTTAGAACTATATCCTCATTCTGTTCACCTGGTGCTATGGCCTGAATTTTGCCCTCCCCCCACACAAATTTATATGTAGGGTTTTAGGAGGTAATTAGGTTTAATGAGATCATAAGGCAAAGACCATGTGAAGACACAGCGAGAAGGGGCCATCTGTAAACCAGAAAAAGAGCCTCATCAGAATCCAACACTTCTAGCCTCTAAAACTGTAAGAGAATAAATTTTTGTTGTGTAAGCCACACAGTCTATAGTACCTGGTTATGGCAGCCTGTACAACTAAGATACCTGGCTCTTTACTTTCTTTTTCTTCATTTAATTTTTAATTGTGGTAAAATACAGATAACATAAAATTTACCATCTTAGCCATTTTTTTTTTATCTTAGCCAATTTTGAGTGTATAGTTCAGTAGTTTTAAGTATATTCATATTGTGTACCCAATCCCCAGAACTTCTTTCATCTTGCAAAACTAAAGATCTATACTCATTAGATAGCAGCTCCTCATTCCTCTCTCCCTTCAGCCCCTGGCAAACACCACTCTATTTTCTGTCTGTGAATTTCACTAATATAAGTGGAATCATACAGTATTTGTCTTTTGTGGCTGGCTTATTTCATTAGCATAAAGTCCTCAAAGTTCATTCATGTCGTAGCATGTGTGAGAATTTCCTTTTTAAGGCTGAATAATATTGTATGGATATACTACATTCTATTTATCCATTCATCTGGTAATGGACACCTAGGTTGCTTCCACCTTTTGGCTATTATGAATAATGCTGCTATGAACATAGGTATACAAATATCTCTTCAGGACTCTGCCTTTGATTCTTGTGGATTGTCTCGATTTTGTTGCTTTATAGTTAAATGATCAATATATGGCTTTATTTCTAGACTCTTAGTTCTATTCCATGGATCCATATACTGTCCTTATGTCAGTACCACACTATTTTGATTACTGTTGCTTTATAGTTAAGCTTTGAAACTAGGAAGTGCAAGTCCTCAAACTTTATTATTTTTTAACATGTTTTGAGTATTCAGAGTCCCTTGTGATTTCATATGATTTTTAGGATTGACATTTTCTGCAAAAAGACCATTGGGATTTTGATACAGATTTTACTAAACTTCTAGGTTGCTTTGGGGAGTATTACCATTGTAAAAATATGAAATCTTCCAATCCATGTACATAGGCTCTCCTTTCATTTATTTAGATCTTTATTTCTTTTCAGCAGTGTTTTCTAGTATTCAATGTACCAGTCACGCATCTTGTTTAAATTCATGCACAAGTATTTTATTATTTTATTTTTTATTGCCATGGAATTGTTTTAATTTTTTTATTGTTCATGTCTAGTGTATAGAAATACAAATGTTTTTGTGTGTTTATCTTGAAAGTTTGATGGATTCATTAGCTTTAACAATTTTTTGTAGATACTTTTAGTATTTATAGAATATATATTTATGTATTTGATCATATAGTATATGACTAGAGATTTTACTTTTTTCCTTTACAGTTTTGATGCTTTTTCTTTTTCTTGCCTATTTGCTCTGGCTAGAACTTCCAGTACAATTAATAGAATTGGTTAAAGTGTGCATCCTTGTCTTATATATGCTTTTTGGAGGAAGACTTCCTTTTAGCATTGTGTATGATATTAGCTGTGGAGTTTCTCATAAGTGCTTTTTATTGTAGTGAGGAAGTTCATTTCTATTCGTAGTTTAAATTTGAGTGTTGTTATCATGAAAGAGTGAAAATTCAGATACTTTCCACATCCACTGAGATTATCATGTGGTTAATTTCCTTCATTCTATTACTGTAGAGTGTTGCACTGATTGATTTTCCTTTGGTGAACCACTCTTGCATTCCGGGGATAAATCCTACGTGGTCATGGTAAATGATCATCTTAATATTCTGCTAGATTTCGTTTGCTAGTATTTTGTTGAGGAGTTTTGCATCTATGTTCACAAGGAATATATTGAACCTTAATCGTGTAATTTGTCTGGCTTTGGTTCAGAGTAACTCATAGGATGAGTAAGGAAGTGTTCCCTATTCTGCTTTTGAGAGTTGGAAAAGAATTTGTGTTAATTCTTCTCAAGTGTTTGGTAGAATTCACCAGTGACGTTATCTGGTCCCAAGCTTTTCATTGTTGGAAGGTTTTTAATTACTAATTCAGTCTCCTTATACAGATCTGTTCAGATTTTTTGTTTCTTTTTGAGTCAGTTTTAGTAGTTTGTATGTTTCCAGGAATTTGTCCTTTTCATCTAGGTTATCTAATTTGTTGGTGTACTTACTTATAGTCCTTTTTATTTCTGGAAGGTCGGTAGCAATGCCCCAACTTTAATTTCTGATTTTAGCAAATTTGAGTCTTCTTTTTAATCAGTGTACCTAAAGGTTCATCAGTTCTGTTGATCTTTTTAAAGAATCAACTTTCAGTTTTGTTGATTCTATTGTTTTTTTATTCTTTGTTTTGTTTTTCTTTGCTTTAATCTTTATTATTGCCTTTCTTCTGCTAGGTTTGGGGTTTAGTTCACACTTATTTTTCTAGTTCCTTAACATATACAGTTAGGTTATTGAATTGAGATCCTTTTCAATATAAGTGTTACAGGTATAAATTTCCCTCTAAGCACTACTTTATCTGTATCTCATAAGTTTTGGTATGTTGTTTTCATTTTCAGTTGTCTAAAAACATTTTCTAATTTCCCTTGTTATTCTTTGATCTTTTGGTTTTCTTAAGAGGGCTTTTTTTATTTCCATATATTTTTTAATTTTCCAGTTTTCATTCTCTTACTGACTTCTAGTTTCATTCTATTATGGTCATAGAAGATACTTTGTATGATTTTAATCTTAAAATATATTGATTGGGGTGTTCACTTCATAAGTTATATAAATGTCTAATCGCTACGTTGTTTACTTGAAACTAATATAGTATTGTATATCAACTGTAAGTGAAAAATAAAATTTTAAAAAATTAAAATTAAAATAAAATAAAATGTATTGAGATTTGTTTTGTGGCCTAACATATGGTCTATACTGGAGAATGTTCCATGTGTACTTGAGAATAATGTTTATGCTGCTGGTGTTGGCCTAAGTGTTCTTATCGAAATCTTCTTGGTCTAGTTAATGTAGGGTGTTTTTCAAGTGTGCTTTTCCTGTATTGATCTTCTGTCTACTAGCTCTATCCATTATGAAAGTGGGATATTAAATTTTCCAACTACTATTGTTGACCTGTTTATCTTTTCAATTCTGTCCATTTTGTTTCATGTTTTGAGGCTCAATTGTTAGGTACATGTATGTTTATAGTTGTTATATCTTTCTATTGTAATGGTCCTTTTACCATTCATTATAAAGTGTCTTTCTTTCTCTCTCTGTTCTTCTGTCTTAAAAATATTTCTCTCTCTCTCTCTCTCTCTCTCCCCCCTCCTCTCTCCCTCACTATCTCCCTCCCCCGCCCTGCCCCGAAAGTCTTTTTTATCTAATCCTACTATAAGCAATCCAGGTCTCTTCTGGTTACTGTTTACACGGTATACCTTTTAATAGTCTTTGACTTTCAAACTAAGGTGTCTTTGAATGTAAAGTGTCTATTGCAAACAGAATATAATTGCATCATGTCTCTTAATTCACTCTGCTAGTCTGTGCCTTTTAATTCAAATATTTAACCGTTAACATGTAATTACTGATTTGTCTTCCATTTAGACATTTGTTTTTAGTATGTGACATGCCTTTTTTTTGTTTTTCTACTTTGCCATTTTTGCTTTCTTTTGTGTTAAATCTATTTTCTAGTGTACCATTTTAATTACCTTGTCCCTTTACAAAAATTTTTGTTATTAGTGGTTACCTTGTTGGTTACAATTAACATCTTAACTGTAACAGTCTTGTTGAGATGATTACCAACTTAATTTCAGTAGTATACTAGAACTTTACTTTTCTATAGCTACATTCCCATCTCACTTTTTTGTGCTGTTATTGTCATCGAAATTATATTTTTATACATTGTGTGTATACCAACAGAGATTTCTAATACTGCTTTATGTAGTTGTCTTGAAATCATATAGGAAAAAAATAAATACAAAAAATACATTTATAGTGCCTTTTATATCTTTACTTCTGTAGTTACTTTTATGTACATAGTTTTCATTATTTCTCCATATGGATTCGAATTATCTAATGTACTCTCATTACAACCTGAATTACTCCCTTATTAATAGTGTGCTACTGGCACATTTTCCCAGTCCTTGTTTATCTGGGAATGTCATAATTTCTTCTTCATTTTTGAAGGATGGTTTTGCTGAATATTGAAGCCTTGTTTGACAGGCTTTCCTTTCAGCACTTTAAATATGTTTCTGGTGAGAAATCAGCTGTTAATCTTATTTGGAGCCTTTGGAAGTGCTGAGTCACTTCTCTGTTGCTGCTTTCAAGATTCATTTTTTGTCTTTCCGCCCCTTTTGCTTTATCTTCTCCTACTCCTGCTTTGTGAATGTTGCTATATTGATTGGGTCCCACAGATTACTAAGGTTTTTGTTCATTTTCTTTCATTCTTTTTACTTTCTGTTCTCAGATTGAATCATCTCAGTAGATTCAGATTCATATTCTTCTGCCTACTCAGATCTGCTACTGAGCACTCTAGGGAATTTTCCATTTCAATTATACCTTCAACTCCAGAATTTCGGTTTGATTTTTTCATCACATATATAATGTATGTCTCTTTATTGGTGTGGTTTATTTGGTGAGAGCATTTTTCCCTTTTCTTTGGTTCTTTAGCTATGGTTTCCTTCAGTTCTTTGTACATGTTTAAAACAGTTGATGAAAAGTCTTTGTGTAGTAAATCCAATGTCTGGACTTCCTCAAGGACAATTTCTATACTGTTTCATACAATAAAATTTTTTTCCTGTGTATGAGCCATATTTTCTCATTTGCATGTCTCAAATTTTAGCTGACAACCGGACATTTAAAATATAATGTAGCAATTTGTAATTAGAATCTCCCCCACCTCAGCTGTTTTATATATATTCAGTGACTCTTTTGAGTCTATATTCTTTGTCATGTGTGTCCACTGAAATTTCTGCTCCATTAGCTAAATAGTTAGCTAATAATTGGACAATGATTTTCTTAAATACCTAGAACCAGTAAGGCTCCGAACTTTGCCAAGGTGCTCTATGTGTATGTTGGGGCATGCCTTCAACAATTACCCTGGCATTTTACTACTCCACATTAGCCTTCACTTTTCTTGCACAGAGCCTCAAGGTTAACAAGAGGTAAGGATTTAGTGCCTTCTCAAATCTTTACTAAAGATGCACAAAGCCCAGGGCATGTGTGTCATCTTCTAAATTCCAAGGCGTGTGTCTGAGCTTTTCAAAGCCCCTTCTTGATAGCTCATTCTCAAGCTTTTCCTTTTAAGCTTTTTTAGTTAGACTGTTGTTTCCCTTAACTGCATAAATTGCCTGACATAGCCATGATGGTAAACAGTATCCCATGTTTTTTTTGTTTATTTTGTTTGCTTGTTTTACTATTGGCATGCTATTTGCAGTGGGTGAGCTTTCCGTCATGTCAAATGAAGACAACCTTATGAGTGGGGTCTTCCAGGGAACCACCAGAGAGGTAAAATAATGACAGTTCTCTGGGAATGGGACTTCTAAATGAATCTCAGTCTTAGGCACTGAAAACTTGGGTCTTAGCAGTTTATTACTTAGGAAAGATAAGGCAGTTAGTAGTCTCTGCTGGTCTTCTAAAGCTGCAATGGGTTCGTACCATTGGCCTCAAGCTATGTGTTTTGATGACTTTCCCTTATAGATTAAGTATTTTTAGTGGAGATATGGAGTATGGGTCTGAGTGGATTTAAGCAGTAACTGTTCTTTGCCTACACTAGCTAGCACCACATGGGACAGAAAGGGACTTCCTCTGAATTCTCCCCTAATCCTCTCTGTGACAGGATGAGTTCCTGGAGAAAATCCCACAAGAGGTAGAAATCACTCATCTGTGACACATAGCACTTTCCCAAGAACTTCACACTCACATTTGCACACACATGGCCTTTAACAGGTTGTTAAAAATTTTCAAGCTTTATCTTCCTGTTGTCCTTATGGAGTTTGGTAACATATAATTCAGTAAGCAAATGAGTGGGTCCTGATTCTCCCTACAGGTAACCATCTCTTCTGATTTCAGATTGTTTGTTTGCCACACAATTTCATTTCTCTGATGAGTTAAAAAACATGACATTAATTTTCAATTTGCCCAGCTTTTTTCTTGTTATAAGGATGTTAGTACAGTCATACACCACATAATGATGTTTTGGTCTGTGATAAAACTGCATATATGATGGTGATATACCATATAGCCTAGGTGTGTATTCGGCTATACCATCTAGGTTTGTGTAAGTATACTCTATGATGTTCACATATGATAAAATCACCTAATGATGCATTTATTAGAACATATCTCCTTTGTTAAGTAGTGCATGACTGTATAGCTCTTTTCAGCTCTCTATATCTCTGACCAGAATTCAAAGCCACACTGTATAATTTTTTTCTAATTTGGTGAGACTTATTATTTTTGTTTTTTAATATACAAAGTGCACAAGAAAATAATTTGTTATGATCAGGTTATCCTATATATTTCATTCAAGTTGGTTAATTATGTCATTTAAATCTGTATCAGTGGTCAGCAAATTTTTTATACAAATGTCAGATAATAGGCTTTGTGGGAGATATGGTCTGTGTTGGAACTGCCAAACTCTACAGTTATCATTCCGTATCAGCCATAAATAATACATAAACAAATGAATATGACTGTGTTCCAATAAAATTTTATTTATAGAAAAACAGTCATGGGCCAGATTTGGCCTCTGGGCTGTGTAGTCTGCTGACCCCTGTTCTAAATCCTTTTTTTTTTTTTTTCCAGTCTGCTTGTCCTGTGAGTTACTGAGAGTTATGTTAAAACCACTGATTATAAGTATGGCTCTATCTCATTTCTGTCAACTTTTGTTTATATACAGTCAATTCTCATTCTCAGTGGTTAAGTTTTAAGTCATTGTGAATGCTTAACTAGCAAATAATAACAAAATTGACTTTCTTTTGGTTAGTGATTACATCTGTATCTTCTCTCATCCTTTTACTTTCAATCTACATATATCGTTCTCTATAAATTGTGTTTTCTTTGTTATTTTTATGCTGTCAATCTTTTCTTGAATTGGATTGGTTAATCCAGAAGTTGGCAACTTTTTTCTGTAATGAGTCAGATAATATACACATTTTCAATTTTGATAATTATAAGGTCTCTTATGAAACTACTAGGCTTTGCCATTTCGAGACAAAAGCAACTATAGACAATACAAAATGACTGGGTGTGTGCAGTTGTGCTCCCATAAAACTAAATTTTAAAAGTGGCAAGCTGGATTTGGCCATAGGTCATAATTTGCTGCCCCTGGCCCAGAGTACGCCTAGGGTAATATATTTGGATGTGGGATAAAAATTGTAGGAAATTTTTTTTTTTTACTAAAAAAATTTAAGCAACAAAAGCTTTACTAATGTGCTTATTGATGGTGTATGTATATAACTCATAAGTATATACAAATCAAGTTACAAACATTAAACTAATTAACTCCAAAGTATGAGATAAAATTAGATCCAAAATAAGCAGACATACGTATTTTCATTTGTTGTTTTAATCTCTTTACAATAAACATAAAAACTGTTTTCAAAGGTATTTTCTCTGTCACCAGATTGAACAGAAATGTGTTATTGCAGGCATCAGTGTCATTCAAAGACGTGACTGTAGAATTAACCCAGGAGGAGTGGCAGCAAATGGGTCCTCTTCAGAGGACCCTTTACAGAGATGTGATGCTGGAGAACTACAACAACCTAGTCTCAGTAGGTGAGCATATAAGCATAACTTACCTTTGTAACTCCTTATAGGAGGCATTTCCTTTTTATGCACTAGTACATATGAATACTTTATTTAGATTTTAATATTATTTAGGCTTTTATTTCAGGAATATGAAGTAACTAAGCCCTGTTGAGGAATAGAAAAAATGTTTGTTTCAACTCTCAGTGACAAATTCAGTGAGGACCTTCATGTTGCTATTCTTGAAATTGTTTCTTGCCTAAGTACTCCATTGTTCCCTATTTACAGGAAGCTGCATTTATAAACCAGAGTTGATATTCAAGTTGGAGCAAGGAGAAGAGCCTTGGTTGTTGGAGGAAGAATTCTCCAATCAGAGCTACCAAGGTGAGTCATTGAGCACTAGCAGACAGAATTGTGTGGGGGTAGCTAGTTTCAGAAGGTCAGTTTAGTGACGAACACCTATGTATTTCAAGACTTCTTAAAAGGCACAAAGGCACAAAGGCACAAAAACACCAAAAAATCGAAAATAATTCATAAACCTTACTAAATTAAAATTGAGAACTTTTTAAAATAAAAGATAGCATTAAAAAGATGAAAAGACACAGAGTACCAGAATATGTATACAATACAAGTAATCACGGAAGGATAAGAATTTTTGCAAGTCATTGTGGAAAAAGGTAGCAACCCAGTTGAAAAACAGGCAAAAGACTTTGAACAGGAACTTTTAAATAGCCATTAAACTTTTGAAAATGTGTTCAATCTCCTTAGTTTTCACAGAGTGCAAAAAATATATAAGGTGAGATAAGAAATATGTATGATATGCAGTGAGGTTAATAAGTCTGGTAATGCCAAGTCCTGGTGAGGATGTGAAATATTAAAGACCCTCATTAACTGACTGAAAATGTAAACTAGTAAGACCATTGTAGAATCAGGAAGATGTTATCAAATCACATTGAAGTTTTACATATCTTATAAACAAACAGTTGCTTTCCTAACTGTATTCCCTACAGAAAGGCATGATTGTATTTTCTAGAATGAATAAAAGACTATTCACCTATCTTTGCCAAAAATTGGGCTCATCAGCAGTAGAATAAAGAAATAGTTGTATTCCTTAAGGGAGAATTATAAAGCTACATAAAATCTTTTACAGTGATTACAAACATAATATTAAGCAAAAGAAACCAAAAAATATAAATATGCATGTATGATTGTCAGAAACAGGCAAAACTTGGTTACATTTTTAGGAATTCATATATTGTTGATAAAACAACAGAGAAGGAAATTATTACATAAATATTAGAGTGGTGAACTCATAAGCATGAAGAAGTTGTAACCAGGCATGATCAAATAGGGATTTTTGCAGAGCCATTTGTGTACTATTTCTTGACATGGTTTCTAATTCCATGAGTGTTCACTCTATACTGTTATATTACACATGTAAGTTATATGCAGTATAAATTTCATGCTTAACAGAGAGTTAAGAGATGAGCCAAAAGTAGATATTTACAACTCATAAAACCCTTCAAGGATGGGCATCTCGAATACATAAAGAATTTAGACCTTTCTTTTTTTTAATTTCTATTTTTCAGTTAAAGTTGACATTCAATATTATATCAGTTTCAGGTGTACAGTATAGTGGTTAGACATTTAGATCATTTATGAAGTGATCCCCCTGATTAGTCTAGTACCCAATTTGGACTTTTCTTAAGTGTCATCTTTACAGTAAGGTTTTCCATGATATCCTATTTAAAACTATACCTCTCATATCAAATTGGAATATGGAAATTTAGGATGAGGTAATCAGAGGAATTGATGATTCCTTTCATCAAAAGGAATTGATGATTCCTTTCATGAATTTTATACTTGTTTGTGTTACTATGACTCGCAGGTGTAAGATGGGTTAGATCCTGAGCTATAAACTTCTTCATTTAATCATGAGGCAGGTAGTGCTATAAATTTAATTTAGTGTTGAAGAACTGAATGGAAATAAGGAACGATATCAAATTGGATGTAGACTCTTGAATAGTCTCCCAGTGGAGCCTAGATAAGGAAGGACCTATACTGTAATTTATTTCCTCAAACCAAACTCTTCCCCTGTTGGGGCTAGTCCATAATGCTCATTATCTCCTAATTTTTCTTATTACTCTACTTAAGTTTACAGTCCTTGTAGTCATCCCATTATCTGTTTTTTCTGCTCCCTAAAATAACCATTCCTATAAAAGCCTAATTTCTATTTTTTCTTTTCTTTCCCTTCTCTATCCAGATAAGAAAATCCAAATTATCACAATCCAAATACAAATCTGTATATATTACCAGTTTCCCCACTCATTTTCACTAGATCAGTATTATTTTTTAAAGGAGGGTGAATATATATATGTTCACACACACATGAATTATTTAACTTTGAGAAACCAAAAACTGAAATGCAACATAAGGGCATATGTCTGTAAGCCCCACTCATAAGAAATGTAAGATTCATAAGATGCTTTCAATTTTTCTCAGTTTTAGAACATTACAGAGATGATGCCCTGATCCAGGAGGACAAGAAATTCAAAGCCAAACACCTGCAGCAAGTAACATTCATCAATAATAAACCTTTGACTAGAGAGGAAGAGGAAGTTTGGGGATTACCATTTAATCTGCACATAGCTCCTGTTTCTTCAACAAAAATGTTTTGTAAATGCGACCCATGGGGAGTCGATTTGCAAAATATTCCTCAATTTATCATTAATAATAGAACTTACTTGGCAAAAAAAACAGGTTACTGTAATGTCTGTGAAATTTTACCTTTCAAAATTAACTTTGAGAGAATTCATACTGGAGAGAAATTTTATGAATGTAATAAAAATAGGAAAACCCTCAGTTATGAGGAAAATCTTCCTGAGCATCAAAAGTGTCAACATTTGGAGCAAGCTTTTGAATTTAATGAAATTGGAAAAGCCTTCTTTGATGAAGCTGCCTGTATTACACATAGGAATACTCACACAGGAGAAAAATCCTGTAAAGATGATGAATTTATTAAAAACTGTGATAAGATAAATGTCTTTGACCATGAAAGAGCTAGGACAGGGGAGAAACACTCTCATCGTAATCAATATGGAAAATCCTTCTGTGAGAAGTCAGCTATCAAGGAATACAATAAATTTAACGTGGCTGTGAAACACTATGAATGTAATGCAAGTGGGAATAATTTCAATAGGAAGTCACCTCTCCCTGAATCTCAGAGAAGTGTCACAGAAGAGAATCCATTGGTGTGGACACAAACTGAGGATAAATCCTTTGAATATTATGAAAATAGGAAATCCTACCAGATATCAGCCCACAAAGTACACCAGAGAAATCACTCTGAAGTAAAACCCTACAAATGTAATGAATGTGGGAAATCCTTCTGTCAAAAAGGGCATCTCGTTCAACATCAGAGAATCCACACAGGAGAGAAACCTTTTGAGTGTAATGAATGTGGAAAGACTTTCTCCCAGAAGTCACACCTCAGTACACATCAGAGAATTCACACAGCAGAGAAACCCTTTAAATGTAATGAATGTGGGAAAACATTTGTCCAGAAATCAACTCTCAGGGGACATCAGAGAATTCATACAGGAGAGAAGCCCTATGAATGTAGTGAATGTGGGAAAACTTTTGTTCAAAAGTCAACCCTTAGAGATCATCACAGAATTCACACAGGAGAGAAATCCTTTCAATGTAATGAATGTGGGAAAACTTTTGGCCAGAAGTCAAATCTCAGAATACATCAGAGAACTCACAGTGGTGAGAAAACTTATCAATGTAATGAATGTGAAAAATCCTTCTGGCAAAAAGACCATCTCATTCAACATCAGAAAACGCACACTGGAGAGAAACCATTTAAATGTAATGAATGTGAAAAATCCTTCTGGCAAAAAGACCATCTTATTCAACATCAGAAAACGCACACTGGAGAGAAACCATTTAAATGTAATGAATGTGAGAAAACTTTTGCCCGGACATCAACCCTCAGGGTACATCAGAGAATCCACACTGGGGAGAAACCATTTAAATGTAATGAATGTGGTAAAAAATTTGTCCGGAAAGCAATCCTTAGTGATCACCAGAGAATTCATACAGGGGAGAAACCTTTTCAGTGTAATAAATGTGGGAAAACTTTTGGCCAGAAGTCAAATCTCAGAATACATCAGAGAACTCACAGTGGTGAGAAAACTTATCAATGTACTGAATGTGAAAAATCCTTCTGGCGAAAAGACCATTTCATTCAACATCAGAAAACGCACACAGGAGAGAAACTATTTAAATGTAATGAATGTGAGAAAACTTTTGCCCGGACATCAACCCTCAGGGTACATCAGAGAATCCACACTGGGGAGAAACCATTTAAATGTAATGAATGTGGTAAAAAATTTGTCCGGAAAGCAATCCTTAGTGATCACCAGAGAATTCACACAGGGGAGAAACCCTTTCAGTGTAATAAATGTGGGAAAACTTTTGGCCAGAAGTCAAACCTCAGGAGACATCAGAGAACTCACAGTGGGGAAAAATCTCATGAATGTAATGAAAATGGAAAATTGTATAAGAAGTCAACCCTAAATATATACCAGAGAATTCAGGGAGGGATAAAACCCGATTGATAGAATAACTATGGAAAACTCTTCTGTCTGAAAAACCAACCTAGTTGACATCAGAAAAGTCACAGAGGAGAGCAACCATGTAAATATGAACGTACAAAGAATTTTGTCTCAAAGGCAACCCTGGGAGTATATGAGAATTCATACAGGTTTCTGTTTCTTTCAAGGTACTATGGAAGGCTTTGTGAATGAAGTCATGCCCTATTAGCTAACTCTCACATCACACGGGCTGGTAATCTGTTCACTAGTAAGAATTTCGTTTTTCCTCTAGGCACATAGCTAATCTAAATTTCCCAGTCTCCCTTTCATCTAAGTGGGCCTTTGTGACTGGCTAGGGGAATGTGGGTGCTTATGTTATATGCCGCATCCAGTTCTGACAAAAGACTTCCCTGATAAACTACCAGGCTTCTGTCAGAGTAAAATAGAGATGAGTTCCAGGACAACCTTGGGTACCATGCTTTAACATGGCACAGCACAAGATAAAAGCCAGGGTGCCTGAAATATGTGGAACACAATTATCTTCCACATCTTTATCATTTGGATATTTTGTGAGCAAGAATTAAGCTTGTATTCTGTTGCGGTGTTATATGTTTGGGTCTATTTCTGCACATAATGTAACCATCTCTCTGCGAGGGAGACAGAATAGTACTATATAAGCCAATCTTACATCAGCCAGAGGGTGCAAACCTTATTCAAGGGTTGGTATGTTAAGGAGTCCCTCAAAGCTCATCAGAAAATTCATACGAAAGACATTCTTTTAATATAATGAAGTAGGTGGTACCACCAGATACAGGGCTTTGGATGAACCTAAAAAGTTAGTTTTTTTTGGATGAATGGTGAGCAGCCATCATGCAGCTAAAGTAAATGACGCTTGCTTAATATTATGAAGCCACTCTCCTTCCATACCTCCTGGCACCTCCATATATCCCAACCTAGCTGCTTTAAAGGGACCCAAAGCCTTTGGCACATACCCAATATTCTAAGGTACTTTGAGGGAGGGGAAGAACTCAAGCTTTTATGGTTCTATAGGATATAGATACCCAAGTCAACATCTTATCAGTTCCCATGGAGGTAGGGGGCACCTAGATTTAGATAATGTCATTATCTAAATGACAGGGCAGGGTTTACAGTAGGGAAGGGAAATGAATGTGACCTTATAAACAAATGGGGCCCTTTGCACCTGTGCAATGTACTGTGATTACTCCTACATCTGGAAGTTTAGTAGAAATTAATATGCTATATGCTATATTCCAACTTCCCGAAAGACAGAATTCTCCCTGTCAGGCAGAGCTGCATGTGAAGAATTACCTGTGAGGCCCCACAGCCCTTAATGACCATTTTGGGCTTCAAGTCTCTGTGACTGATTTTGTTCATATTGGAACTTCTGGTAAACGGAAGTACCCTTGGCGGGAGTAGTTTGAGTTTATGCTCTAACAAGGTAACCAAGTATACCCCTTTTGTAAAGCAGCTATTAGCTTACTCTTAAGCTCTTTAACACTAGACACCTGACTCTGACTCACCGAGGCCTCTGACTTGATTCAGGGTGTGTCATCTTAGACTTAACTGACTAACAAGATGGAAAGGGCTTAGTACTTGTGTGAAATGGAACATGTTTTCAAGAATACAACTGTCCTAGTCCCAGCAGTATCTCAGTCATACATGAAATGGTAGCAGCTATTCCTTAGAGAGGAAATTTATCCCCTACTTTGTTTCCTGAAGCAAAGCTGCTGGCTCAGTAGGGCTCTAAATTCATAGAGGTTACTTTAACTGGGCCTGCTTTCACTGATGGTTCAGCTAGTTGAAACCACTTGATACTATTACTATTCAACCTCAGAGCAATTATGCAGACTCTAAAATAATGTGTTCTCAACTCTAGCCAATATTCTCTTTGATGAAACTTGGTGTGTTTTTATGGACTCTTGGGCCCTTTGTCTATTTGACATGCCATTTATAATACTACAGAATAACAAAAGCACCCCTCTTTGGTGCTGCAACTGGGTGAAGTCACAGCTGCTGAGTGCAACATCTGGGTTAACTAGATGTCCAAAGTAAGAAACTATTCTCTGACAAACCTGACTGGAATCAAAGTGCTGATCAAGCCTTCACTACCCTGATTGCCATCATTGTTACCTGGATCAGTTATCATGCTGACATAACAACATTCACCATTATACACTAGATACAAAGTAAAGGTCTCTATATATTCCGTGGTTCATTTGAAGTAATTTGATATGAGTCTAATTTTTTTTCTTTTGGATTATTAGCCAATGCTCAATATACCATTTGATCACCCTTTCCTACTGATTTTAAATATGCTAAATTGTCATTTGTGAAGATAATGCATATAGCTGCTCATGACCCATTCCCTACATTCTGTTACATTAGTAACAGATCCTCCTTTTGTGATCAGGGTTGGCACATGCCTTATATGAGCCAAAATACCCCATCTTTCTGGCCCGATATCAAGTTTGGAAAAGAATACCTCCTAGGATGGTGGAAAGGTAACATCACAGACCAGAGCTGCCAGCAGCCTTGCCAAAAAGATGCATCTGCAATAAGGATAACATCCAGTTAGTGTTCTATTCCCTGAAAATCAAGAGATTACTGTTTACTCAGTTTTTATGATAGTAATATAAAGTCATTCTTAAGAATTTTTTCAGATTCTTAAGATATTTCAAATTATTTCCCTCACACCCCTTTTTATATACAATTTTTAGGGTTATGATTGGATTTGCTATTAAGTTTAGGACCCAATCCACCCAGTGGCCTGAGTCATTCATTAGGAGGCCTGGTGACAAAGTTCCATGATGTCACTCAGGCTTTGCCTCCTGTCCCCTTGCTGGAGTAGGCCCACAAGGCACCTAGCCATGTAATACATTGTCAACTGTAAACTCTGGTCTGTGCTATAGTCATGACTGCACCCTTCTCCTTGCTTGCTTCATCTTTCCAGTCATGGACTTTTATTCCAATAGATGGGTGCCTCATCTAGAAATTCTGGATGGTCAGTTATCTGCCTTCCTGCATATTAAGGATCTTCAAGCTAATAAGTCTCAATGAGGGCAGGGATTTTTTAATCTGTTTTGTTCATAATGTATCCCAAGAGTATGAAACGGTCCCTCTACATACTGGGCATTCAGAACTATTCTCTGAAGATAGAATTATCGAAGTGAAATATGAACGTTTTTTTCCTTTTGATGCTGCAAATTCTCTTTTGAGATTATCATTTATGAAAAATTATTGCTATAAGCTCTCACTAAAGACTTCTGTTTTGGATATTAATACTGCTATAAGAAACTTGTTCTTAATATTTAGATGTGTACACTACTGTTCTTTAGATTTTCGTCAGACAATTTATTTTTCAATAAACTTTTCCAATTCAAAATTATGTCTACATAGCTATCGTTTTTATTAGAGCTCAGGCTTTTTTGTAAGCACCAATTCAAGCAGTTTTTCAAAACAACAGTAATGGTAAATCAGATTTTCAATACCAACCAAAGGGGAAAGCAAAGGAATTGGTTCTTGGGATCATCCCTTTAATCCACTGACCAGTAGTTACACTCATTTTTACTTCCAAATAATCATCCTGGCAACTCCAAGGAGAAGTTTTGTTTTGTTTTTGTTGTTTTCTTTGTTCCTTCTCACCCACCCCGCCCCCACCACCCTCCCCCCTGGTTCAAGAATCTATTTCCTGGGAGAGATATCTGATCCCAAAAGAAGGGGCACAACACCTGTCCTGACCTGCCTTCATCTTTCCATCTTTCTCTTTTCTTGCCAAGTACATAATGCCTTTTTTTTCCCTCATAGGTCTCCCTGGAAGCCCAGCAGAAATAATATATTCTGTCCTCCTACAAGGGAAGCTTCATATTATAATGGGAGAGAAACAATTTGTTTTCTTGTCGGAGACTGTATAATTTCCAAATACTATTAGTCTGGCTAACTGGCTATTTTAGTGATCTTCCAATATTCTAAGGAACAGATTGTCCAACTCACAGAACAATATAATTAGCCTAACTACCTGCTGACTGACTTGAGACATAATTAATGAACTAAGAAACTACTTGGCCTGACTTTGTAACAATTCTGTTTATGTGTGTGTGTGTGTGTGTGTATACACATACATGTGTGTGTGTGTAACATCTGCCAGGCTCATTCAACATTTGAAAAATAAATTAATTCAAATTAATAAGCTAAAAAAAATGAAATAATCATATCAATGCATAAAAAGCATTTGACAAATTTCAATGCCACTTTAAGATTTTAAAAGAACTCTCAGTAAACTAGGAATGAAGGAGAATGTCACCAACTTGATAAAGATCATGTATTGAAAACAAAGAGCTAACATTGTACTTAATCATGAAAGACTGAGTGTCTTCAAATTAAAATTAGGACCAAAGCAAAGATGTCTACTTTCATCATTCTTATTCAACATAGCAGAATGCTAGCCAGCACAATGACTTAGAGAAAAAATGGCACATGGATTGGAAAAGAAAAAAATAAATCTATACCTATTTACAAATGACATAATTGTCTGTGCATGTACAAAATCCCAAGGAATATTTAAAAAGCAAAACATTTCTTAAAATTAATCAATGAATTCAAAGTTGCAGGTTATGAGATCAACACAAAAAAATCAATTACATATCTATATGCTATACACAAATACGTATCAAAAACAAAAAACCTTATGTAAAGTTTAATTCAAAATGAAGTATAGATTTCTATATAAAATGTAAAACTTACCTGGGGAATCAAATTAACCAAGAAGGTAAAAGACCTGTTTTCAGAAAATTATAAGTCATTGAAAAAAGAAATTGAAGAACATACAAATAAATGGAAGCATATACCATGTTCATGGGAAGGAAGAATCAACATCGTTAAAACGGCCATACTACCCAAAGCAATCTATAGATTCAATGCAATCTCTATTAAAATACCAATGACATTTTTCAGAGAACTAGAACAAATAATCTTAAAATTTATATGGAGCCATAAAAAAACAAAAACAAATAGCCACAGCTATC